CTAGTTTACATTTGTCATTTTTTTATTGACAACAAATAGTATAAATTGTTCCCTTTAAGTAAAAAACTTACTGTATCCATTTTTAAGACACTAACTGCTAAATATCCAATTTTGAAAGTATACTTTTTTTCTTTTTCATGGTGCTGGGATTAAACCCAGGGTCTAGTACATGCCAGGCAAGTGCTCTACCAACTGAGCTATATATCCTAGCCTAAATATCCAATTTTGAATAACCAGTTTGTCAGATGGCCTTTCAAAAAAAATGATGTTCTATGAAAAAAAGCAACTTCTCAAGTGCTTTCCCTTTGCAGTCAACCCCTGCACTTTGGGATGCCACAGAAGTGTTTCACATGCACTTTTCATTTCATCAGAATATTTTAAAGACAAAGACTTAATAAAACTACTAACTCTTCGTTTCATAAATGATATTCTTAAGGGAAACTGGCATTATTTTTACTACACTGGCATGGTGGTAAAGATTAGAATGAATGTGGCAATTTAGTGCCACTGCCCTGATTCATGCTAAAATGCTGTTTTCACCTACCACTGCTTTTGCACCATCACTACATGTGTGGACACAGTGAAAAAGGAAAATTATGGCCCCATGTTCTTATGAAAACAGTTTGAAATGCATAAATTAACTAAAAGGGCTTAAGGGACCCCTACAGTTCCTCATTCCACACTTCAAAAACAACTACCACAGACTTTACAAACACTAATCACTTTCACAATTTCCTATAAATAATGAACCTGTGAGTATTCTAACCCAAGATAAAGGGAGGAGAGAAAACAAACAAGAAACCTCCCCCCCCACACACACCGCAAGTAAGGAATCTCTGAAAAACAAATCAGTGGTTGCTGGAAAGGTTCCTCAGATGGGTAAGAAAGCTCAGATGGGTAAAAAAAAGATCGAGAATCAGAATCAGGTATTTCTTTAAAAAAAAAAAAAAAAGGCAGGCTTATTTAGATGGCCCTCTTTTTTTTTTTTTTTTTTTTAAATCCTATTCTCACACCAAGGATTTAGGAGAATTAGTAACAACCCTCAAATTAAAAGACAGAAAACAAGTATGACAAGAAAACAGTGATAATGAAAAGATTTTCATCAGATAATAGTTTCTTTAGGGATTCTTTGAAATGTGAGCTTCACAGTTTATTTTCATTTTACAGAAGGTAAAGTAATTCTTTTCATTAATAATCAAATCCTTACCATAACACTGTGTTAAGTTGTAAACAACACTTTGTAATGAAGTTGGGGCACTAACCATTGAGCCAAACCCCTATCCCTTTTTTATATTTTGTTTAGAGACAGGGTCTCACTGAGTTGCTTAAGGCCTTGCTAAATTGCTGTGGCTGGCCTTGAACTAGCAATCCTCCTGCCTTAACCTCCAGAGCTGCTGGGAGCCACCTTACCCAGCTCAAAGTGCTTCTCATTTGACAAGAAAACCGTTAAATTTTACAAAAGCAAAAAACAAAACAAAAAAAAAAAACATATTTTGTTCGTCATTGTATGTCCAATACCTAGCTCAACTCTTGTATAAGATGCTCAATAAATATTTGCTATTGTAGTAGTTCTGAGATATGAGCTTAAGTTACCAGATTTCTAGTACAAGACCTAGTGCTTTCTAAGTCATCTTTTCCGCGGCTTTCTAAAATAACACTTTTGAGAAACCTAATGGAACTATCACAGCATACCCTGAGAAAATATAACACTACCTGTTATACTTAAAAACCTGCTATAGACTAGGTTTTATTTTATAGGTTTGCATTTAGATCACAGTGCAGAACCAAAACAAACAATTCTATCATTTTAACTTCTAAATATATGTTCTGTGAAGTAAGCAATAATTTTCCATTCCTAAATGCAGACACAATAAGATACCAGTTTTAATTGTTATATATCCATTTCTACCTTCACACAGACTACACTAAATATTTCATTTTCTCTGATGATTCATAATGGCTCTTAATTTTCTACTTTCTTATGTTTATATTTGGAACACTTATTGCCTTAAAAAGAACTTCAGATTCTGAAGACTGAGCAGCACCTTTGATGATAATCTGTTGCTATAGCTTTTTCTTTTTAATATACCCTATCAGTTTGACATTTATTACTGTTTCTCACAAAAGGACAATGTAGAAAATTTCAGGACACTTAGGTTCTAGATTTAAAAGAGATTAATCAAATTTAAATAAAGGCCACCAAATACAAAATTGAAATTCAATCACAGAAATGGCATCAACTTAAAAGAATATAATTGCGAATACAATTGAGGAATTGAAACTATGTCAAATCATATTTTATTCTGACAGACATGCTACGAATGTAACCTCATTCTACAGCTTGACATGACCTCCCTAGGATATAGGCAAAGGAAATGGTCTTCTGTTGGAATGTGAAGCATTTGAACTAGGTATTCTTTAAAGAAAAATATATATATTTTATGTCAGTAAAGACTTTAAAGAGAGACCATGGACTCAATCTTTTCTGAAGGTTTAAAAAGAAAAAAAAAATGTTTCAAATGTCTAGGATGACTTAGACTTGGCCTCATATTTGGCAACTGAGAATTAGTTCAGAGGTCAGTCTGACCCAAAGGATTCAAATCCTGGCTGTTTGTCACATAAACAAGTCTTCAGCAAACTGCATCCTTCTGCTGTACAGCTATCCAGGCCCAGCTCTGGCTCTCCACAACCTTATCCTTGAAATCACCTCATAGCTAATGATCATGTCAGCTATGGAGAATTACTTCTTTTCAACTACTGAAACTTTCGCTTCTCAATAGTGTTCGGCAGTCCTTTACTCCTGTCTTCCTAACATTACTGGGGAGGGAAGTATTTTGCAGTGTAATCAATATCTGCCTTATTAACAATGCCCTGTTCCATTGTTCTACCCAAACATGGATTCCACTCTTAATTTCAGAAACAACAGTAGGAAAGTAACAGATAACAGAGAAATGAGAGCTCTTAGGTTTAACTCAGGGCCAAAGTCAAAAGAAAAGAGACAATTCAGAGAGGAAGGAAGAAGCTTAGAGGGTGTCACGGTGCAGAACACTTACTTTTAGGAACAGAGTGTCCCTTAGACTTCTGGTGGGTTGCCCAGAGCCTCTTCAGTTTCAATCCAAATGACAATGCTTCTCTGAGTGCTCCTCAAGTAATGTTTCCACCACTAAAAATGGGATCTACAAGAGCTCAGATGTACTGGTAAAAAAATGTCAGGGGCTCCCATGTGGGCCTCAAGCCTCTTTAAAAGTAGGCTCACTTCTCTGTCCTGGGCCAACTCCCCTGTGCACTATAATCCTTCTTCTTCCAGGTGCCAGGTATTCAGCCTGTTTCTTCTCTTCTGAGCTGCCACCACCTACTCTATTTCTCAGGGTTCCTCTAACCCCAAGACTGGCTGTGGAGTAGGACAACAGCTTCCCCCCTTCCTTGCTGTCCCTGCAAATAAACATATAGGCTCTTCTAGTTTCAGTATTTTTCTAATTGCTACAAGAAAATAGAGAGGGAACAACAAAAAGCAACAATATAGTACCAGAGATTAAGATTTAAAGTTCCTGCCGCCAAAAAAGAAATTTCCTAAATGGTGCTTCTTGAGAATTTTTTAAAATACAAAGTACTATAAAGATATATGAGTATACACTTAACCAAATCCAACCTCATATGACATAATGATGCTCTTCTTTTCAAAATACTTAAAACACGGGTCCAAAAATAGCAAGTAGGTAATTTTTTTTTCTTTTAGAATGTTCTCTCATTTTCCTTTGAATTTAGCAAATGTTTAAAAGTTTGCTTTTTAATAGTTATCCTGAAAAATGTTCAAAATATTTTATCCAATTCAAATGAAAATTCATCTACAAAAGTCTAAGATTTACAAAAAGACAACCATGTCAAAAGCAGGTCGTTTCACACAGAAAATCTTTAAAATTTGAAACTTCTGGTCCTATGTTTTAAAAATTTAATAAAGTGTTTAAACCATCAGGATATCTTATTTTTAGAAATCTAACTTTTACTGAATATTTATAATGTCAAAATTACAAAGACTCTCTATTTTAAAAGTAACAGTAAACTTAATGCGCTTACTGTGAGAATTTAAGATTCTAATAGACTTTGAAATATCAAAATAAGTACCTTATCTAAACGTTACGCTATAAATCACAGGATTACAATGAATTAATTCAAAGGCCACCTTCCTCTAAAGGCCAAGAACTCTTTTAACTAAGTGCTGGCATATCAAGAACGCCTGACTTTGAATTTCCTGGATGACTTTCTTTATCCACTTAATTCATTTAAGTGGCTTTTTAAAAGACAGAGTTATAATACTATAAGCTTACAAACCATAAACTAAGACTGAAAATAGGCGGATATCATTTTATCTTGTTTTTTTAACAGGCTGCTATTTAATCAAACTAAAGATATTTGGATACTTCGCGTAAAAATGTGTTCCTGTGACTGGGTTTACCTCCAAATACTTACTTAGAAAATATGAGAGAAGTGGAATAGCACACCAAACAAAACCTTGGTCTGACTCTTCCACACGTACACGTTTTTAAAAAGCGGTTTAATCTATTATGTATTCTACAATAAGATACTTTTTTATGAGGATCAAAATTAAATTACATCCTTTGCTCCTAAAGAGGATTTCAGTCTTCTTGATCCCCGCACACTAACACAACAATGCAGTCAACATTTTTATGCCCGTAGTGGGGAGGAGACATTATACTCAGCGATACGAATTAAATCGCAGGAACTAATGCCTCCCTAAATAATTTATTTTCTCTTGGCAGCAAAAAAGAAAAAAAACGTTACAGCCTCTTCAATTACCCCTCGCCGCAAACCATCGCGTGGGTCGCGATCGATGTGACCCGACTCCTATCGCGGCCACCACCTCGGTCTCGCCCGCTGCCGACGGGTCTGCGAGTGTCACGGGAGGGGCCCGCAGCAGCAGGGGCGTCCGGTGCGCCGCGACCCCGGCAGCCGGCGGCCCGCGGGGCAGGCCCGGGACTCACCGGGTGGAGGTGCCCTTCCGCACATCGCACATCATGCACTTGAAGGCCTCGGCGCTGTTCCGGAAGGTGCAGACGCTACAGTCCCAGTAACCCTCATCCGAGGACGGCTTCGGCTGCCGCTTCGGCCTGCAGGACACAACCCGGACACGACGCAGCGCGGGGTCATCAGCAGGCCGCGCCCGGCGCCCGAGACCCGGCCGCCCCCGCCCCCCGCCCCAATTCTGCGACCCCCGCCCCGCAGGTCCCCGGCGCGCAGCGCTCCGTCTCGGAGGGGGAGGGAACCAGGAAAGGGGAGGGCTGGAGCCCCGCCGCACTCGCCGCGGCCGCCACCGCTCTGACACCGGGGGCTGCCGCTAGGGCCGCTGCCGCCGCCATCGCGGCTCCATTGTGGGGCGGCCGACGCCGGCCCCTCACGCGGCAGTGCTAGCGCAGCAGCGGCGCCGCCCCCGTTCTCGCCCCGGTGCCCGTGCGGCGAGCGAAGTGGCCGCCTGGAGCCCCGCGCGAAGGCCCCGCCGCCTGCAAGTCCGGGCCCCGGGGCCCACGCGCTGTTACCTGGTGGGGCTCTTCTTGTCTCCCATCGCTCGGCTACTAACGCACTCCCAGAGTCGCCGCTGCGGCCGCTCTGTTTGTCAATACGGAGGATAATAAGCCGGGCGGAAGCGGGCGGGGGAAGAGAAGGGGGGCGGGGAAGGCCGCACCGCCGAGCTCCGGAGCCGCCGGATCCCACGCAGCCTCCAGCTGTCGGGGAAACTCCTGCCCGGCTCACGTGACCCGCGCCGGCCAACCAACGGCCGCGCCGGAGACTTCAAACGCGGCCAGCGCGGCCCAGCACCCGAGGCGAGTTAGCGGGCGAGTGGGCGGACCGTGCGGGGGTGGCCGCTGCGGCCTCGGGCGCCGCAGCGCTTGCTGCCCAGTTCCCGGCTTCCCCTCGCACCCACGCTGGCCGGGTTGCGGCGTGCTCCAGCGCCCTTGTGCGGGCGAAGCGTCTGTCCCGAGAGTGATTGGGGATGCTCTGTCATCCAGCGCGAAGCTTGGTAGGAGGAGAGGCTGGCGTTTGGAGGCCATCCCAGCTCGGGACAGGAGTGCCCGCGCAGGATCTCCAGGTAGAAACGCTTCCCTGACTTCAGCCGCCTTTGGCTACTCAGGACCTGACTCAAGGACACCTGAAGGAAGGCAAAACCCACATTGAGCGCCATTGCCAAATGCTTTCAAAAGCTGTCCGCTTTTATGCCCACGAGTGTTGCATCAAGTAGGGATTGTCATCTTTAATTTAGAAGAAACAAAACCGAAGCTCAAGAGAGATTAGGTGACTTTCCCTAGGTTACGTAATTAGAAAATGACAAAGCCAAGCGCTTAACCCTGTTTCAATCCCAAAAGCGTTTTCTTCTTCTTTTTTTTTTTTTTTTTTTTGGCCTCACTGGTCTTTTAAAAGAAAATGAGTGTTCATAATCCTTTAAAATGAGTTTACATATGCCCTGAACGCTGTGTGTTGACAACGGAAAGAATACCTTCCTCCTGGCTCCCATTACCTCAACATGCTGGAGGCCTTCATTTTGTACTAGACTCATAACGACCATCTAACTGGCCTCAGAAGCTCCAGTTCAGACTCCCCAATGCATTCACTAATCCACAACCAGATTAAAACTAAAATGCAGTTAACATTATGCCACCACTATAATCAAGAACTAAGGGCTCCCAAACTCCTCAGCCTGGTACTCAAAACCCTTACATGCATTTTACTTACCTTGCTATCAGACAAGCTGCCTTCTGACAAAAGACTAGATGAATCTCATCTACCTCCTTCCTGCATATGGCTTACTTCTGCATAAAACATATCCTTCTTCTGTCTGTTCCATTGCCATCAATCTCTCTGTTTTTACATCAAGTTCACATTCCTATTAAGTAATAATTGGTAGCTAAATTGAAAAGGAAATAGTACAACCAGAAGTCCCGTGTTCTTAGCCTTGTTTCTTCCGTTCCCTGATAGATCTTGGAAAGTTTGCTTAATTTCTGTAATTTTTGACTTTTTCATCTATTGGGGGTGGTTGTGTGCTTACTGATAAAATAACATTTTTGGAGCACTGTGTGTCACTTTGTATATCTTACATAAATGCACATTTTAAAGGGCTTAGAGTCCTACTGAATGTTATCAAGTAGTCTAACCCTTCATTTTAAAGACAAAGAACTTAGGGCTAGGGTTAAGTGACTTTTCTTGAATGCCATAACAAAGCACTGTAGACTGGGTGGTTTAAATAACAGAAATTTATTTTCTCACAGTTCTAGAGGCTACAATCAAGGTATCAGCAGGGTTGTTTTCTTCTGAAGCCTCTCTCCCTGGCTGGGAGAGGCCCTCTGTCTTCATATGCTCTCCCTTATGTGCATGTCTGTGTCCTGATCTCTTCTTATGAAGACAACAGTCATTGGATTAGGATCACCTTAATGACCTCATTTTAATTGAATTACTTCTTTAAAGACCCTGTCTCCAAATATAGTTATATTCTGAGGTACTGAGGGCAAGGATTCAATATATGAATTTGGAGAAATTATATTACAGTCCAGCCTATAATATCAATATAAAAAAGTTCAAATATCAACAAATATTTTTTTAAATTAACATATCTAGCACGTTCCTGTGACATTCATAATGCTCATCTGAAACCCTTAGAGCTAGATGTATTTGGTAAGTAAGACATTTGGGGATTTTCAAAAGGTAGTACAAATGCTACATCATTATCTAACACTTTGAGTGGGTTCTGAGTTAGTGCCCAATAATTGACACATTAAATATTTCAGAGAAAATGTAAATATTCACACTAAATGGGAAAATTAAAGCCCATAAGTTTCCTCACATTATTTCTACTTAGGATTTGCTGCTAAATGATTATGGGTCAGGTAAAATATAAAAATGCTTTCAATTTTCAGTGCTTTTTGAATTAAAGGATTGTGGATCTATAAGAATTTAAGGAAGAATTAAGATTTAAAAGATTAAGGTTTAAAATGTCCAAAAAATGTTCATGGTAAATAAATCCTAACGATTCAACCAGAAGTCATATAAAGCTTCTTCATGGAAATAGTCATTGCAGTTATTTTAAGAAACATTGAAAATAACCTGCATGCTCATTAGAAGGGGAATAATTACACAGTACAAGAATTATGATCTAACAAAAATTTGTATTTTAAGCAGACATTAAAAACAATATTGGTAGTCCTCAGACCTACACACACAAATGAAGAATTTGTAATAAAGACAGTGCTTCTTTTGTGAAATGCAGAATGTGCATTTGAATATACAAGATAGACTAAAGTATATAAAAAGCCTAAGAAAAAACTCACAAGAAAACACACTAAGATACTATGGTAGTTTGTCAGTCTCTTGATTTTTTTTCACTACACTAAGACTCCTTTATTCTGAAGTTTGCTCCCAGCCCTTGTACCTTCTTTACTCTTAACTCCCTCTCTCCCTATAGTCTACTCCTTTCTAATAGGTCTCTATTTCACCCCAGGATCTGGCCTTAATTAACAACATCACAGACCAGGTTTGCATTCCTCCTGCTTTTCCTCTTTACTACAAACCAACCCAGCCCTAGCTTCAAGGTAGTTTCTTATTGACATAATTGGCTCTTATCTGCCTTGCTTAAATCCAGAAAGTAGTGTGAAGTGGACATAATATTCATCACTGAAAAGTTACCTTGAACAGAGAGTTGGGAGACTTTGTTTCAAGACTTTAGCCAAGTGCAGTGGTGTATACCTGTAATCTCAGCAGCTCGGGAGTCTGAGGCAGAAGCATTTCAAGTTCAAAGCCAGCCTCAGCAACAGTGAGGCACTAAGCAACTCAATGAGACCCTGACTTTAAATTTAAAAAATACAAAAAAGGGCTGGGGATGTGGCTCAGTGGTAGAGTGCTTCTGAGTTCTATCCCTGGTTACCCACCCCACCCCACCCCCAAAAGACTTTACCCCACACCTATAGAGAAGGAGCACTGGCCCACTGGTGGTGATATCTCAGATAGTGTCATATAAAGCCTGTATTGCAAGTATGGGGAAAACTGCAAACTGCAAAAGAAAGCAGCTTCTGCCAAAGAGAGAATTGCTGTGCTGTGGGGATGCTCCAAGGAATAGGAAAAGGACTGAAAGCCAAAAAGAAGCAGATAGCAAAGAAGCATAGACCCTTTTTTCTCCAACTTTACTGTCTACTTCTGACACCTGCTACTGGCAGAGTCAGAAGGAACAAATTCATAAAGCAGAGCACCAGCCTTTACCATACCAAGTGGACTGTAGAGTAGAGGCTGGGCTTGGGGCAGAGATGACTTTCTGTGACTGCTCAGCATCCCCACAAACTTTTCTACATGTATTTGCACTTCTATAGAACATGAACTCTCTACCTTTCCCCGTATATGCAACCATCCTATGGATAAAGGCATTTTCACCTACTCACCAAAGTAAGGAGACACTACATCCCAATAGTCATTCTACCCATCTCTGGAAGCAACGACATCATCCATCTCTACACTATTTTAATTATTTTTTAAATTCAGCTACAGTATTATCTTGTTTTCTCTTACCTAAGGACTAAATTTTCAAAGTAACCTCTAACAGAACTTATATTAAGTAATAAAAGGAAAAAGAGGAAGAAGAAAAGAGTTCATATTTACAAATACTTGTACATGCACATACATAAAAAGTGATGAAGAAAATGTATGTAGCTGCTGCAATCCTCCTTTCTGTAACTTATCATGGGACTATAGTTGATATGTAAAACTTTTCCCCACCAGCTATTCCATGTTTTCTTTTCATTTAGTCAAGCACTTAGCTAGACTGAGTTCTTTACCTGATGAGATGACCCAGACCTTCATTCCTGAAGAGTTTGAATGCTCAGTGGTCCTGACTTGCTTTAGTTGATAAAGTTCTCTTTAATTTTTACTACTCGTCATTGAAGTACTAGGAGGTGCTTTCAGGAACCCTTTGGGCAAAAGACATAATCGTTTTTACCCTCGCAGGATATCAGCAAGCCAATTTTACCTTTTTTATTTTTGTATTAGAGATTAAACCTAGGGGTAGTTAATCAATGAACCACATTCCCAACCCTTTTTAATTTTTTTTTTTTTAAACAGGGCCTCTCTAAGTGCTTAGGGCCTAACTAAATTGCTGAGGCTATCTTTGAACCTGATGTCCTTCTGCATCAGCCTCCTAAGTCACTGAGATTACAGGTGTGAGCCACCTCTAATTTCATCTTGGTTGTCAGGTTCAACCACCTCATCCAATAAAGCAACTCCCTTATTTACCTGTTGGTTCAGTAGTATAAGGAGCACTAAATATCCAAGTAACTGTTTTATTTTCCAAAATTGTTGGGCATGGTGGTGCATGGCTATAAACCCAGCAATTTAGGAGGCTAAGGAAGAAGGATGGTATGTTCAAGGGTTGCCTCAGCAAATTAGCAAAACCGTATTTCAAATTTTAAAAAAGTAAAAAGGACTGGGGATGTAAACTCAGTAGTAAAGTGCTCCTGAGTTCAATTCCCAGTACAGAGTTGAGGGGGACCAGCTTCCAATTCAATAGAATCTTGTTGTTGAAAACTCATGGAAGCATCTCATCCTTGAGAATCAAAATCTCAGTAGAGTTCAATGTTGAAGGTATGGAAAGCAAAAATTTTATAAGTAGGTATAATAGTGAGAAGAGTCACTCCCTCCCTTTTCCATCTCTTGATTCCTGTATTT